GAGAAAACCACTTTTTGGAGGAAAATAATGGAAGGCCTGCTAATTGCTTGCGAGAAACCAACCCTAAACAAACAAGTACATTCTTTCATTGTAAAACTGTTCCCCTTGGAATAACTTAAATCGAACAAAACCAAGTTCAAGTGTATGTAAATTTCCATCATGTACCACTGATGATGACCGTACGGTTGAAAATGTTTTGGTTTTTAAAATTTTAGTCACTTTTAGCCATTTATAAACAAAGAAAAATGTTTGACAATATCTCAATGCATAATTTATTCAGTGCATAATTTATTGAATGTATAATTTACTGTATACACATATAATTATGTTTATGGTTTATTCTATTTCAATACCTGGTATGCAAAATTGAAGAAGGAAAACTGGGCAAGCATGTGTTCAAGAACTTTTTGGAGAATTATCACCTGTAAAATCAAAAAACAAAACAGAGGAACTTGGAAATCCTATTAATAGCGGGGTTCTGGCAGAGCCCCATAACTATAGGAACAAAACCACATGCATGCATTGGAATAGAAAACCGTGCAACCCTTTTTTCATGGACAACATGGCTAGTGGTGTGGATCGTGGATGCGGGCGCTCAATGATGATGAAGATGTCTCACAACATGGCCGCCATACTCTAACTAATTGGTCAACCAAGGCATACAGCCTTGGTTTACAGTGTACATATTTGATATTGAACATCCATGTTATGGTCAATTGACAGCTGTCAAAACAAGGCATGTGCTGACCAGTATCATGGGGGGCAGAGAGGGGGGAAGAGGGTGTTTGAGATATTCTACTTGCCTATGTCTGTTTACAGTCAAGTATTACATTTTCTGGGTACATGCAGAGGTGGATGTTGTTAAGGGGAAAGGGGAGTTCAAAACTTGAATAAGAAGCATAGGACAAAGATTTCCAACTAAATAATAGTCTATAGATCCAAGAAGGTTTAGTGACATGATTTAAGTACGCGCACAGGATGAGACAATAATGGCATTCTTTGTAACTTTTCCTGTTGCCTTGATGGTCTGAAGAGACAGACCACAAATAGTGAGGTTTTCAGAAGAGTGGCCAAGAAGATTGGAATGAAGACAGCTGAGCTGCTGCTTACATTATACATGGTGGGGCTGACTAAAATGGTCAAGACACTCGTCATCTGACAAAGATCTTAAGTTTACCTTCTTTAAAGTGTGGATGTCCCTCAGAGTTGATACATACTTGAGTAGGATCCGCTGATAATTATGCCTGGCATGCAACATGCCATGTGCAAGTTTGTCCAATACAGAGGGCTGTAAAGGAAAGTAACATTAATAATTTTAATAGGCAGTAGCTTACTTTGCAACCGTCCCTACTTTTAATGACAGATTATACTCTGCTACAATGGACCAGTGATATCTGTAGGGAAATTGGGTTCTAGGCTATGGTCTAGCCCAATGTGTCATTACTTAATCATACCTTTTTGAATGACACAATCAAGTTATTTCATACGGAGTTCATGACTGTGTACTGATTAAGTTCATGACTTTAAAATTGAGCTATGAATCATGAGTATGGCAATCAAAGCAACATAATCTGATATTGGCCTGCACAGTTAAATCGAAGATTTATTAGAACGCAATGGATATCCATGAGATGAATTTTGAATCTATCAAACTCTTCTCTGTAACATCTATCTTGAAATAATTGTATCTTGTTAGAAAGTGCGAAACTCAACAAACTTGTGAAAAAACTGTGAGGCACCTTCCCTGATGTTAAGAAAGAAAGATTCACTGATTTTACCTGTCATATGATCATGAAATTTGTCACCACCTGATCACTTTTTTTTTTGAATCCATGAAAGAAACCAACTGTGCATGCAATGGCGTGAAAAAAAAAAGTACATTCTGCAATCAACAGATGTCTGGGATCAATATTAGTTAAGAAACTTAAAGTAATTCTCTATACCTCCTGTAAGTTACTTAGATGTGAAAGACTGGAATACTTTTCCCAGGAAAGGTGCAAAGCATCTCTGGCTTTCTGCATTTGAGTTTGGAGGTCCTAAAATGTAGAAATTAAATATTTTGTTTTACAAGCAACAAAGACAATATGCAAACTAAATTTTACTGCGCATCAAAACCTGCATATATGTATAAACTGAAAGACAAGTTATCGGGTATAATAAAATCAGGTCATATCTTACCTTAGCTTTTTCAAACTCTTTGGTCAGAGCAGCCAGTGGCTGTAAAGTTAGGATCTGTGTTTGACTCAGGAACATGTCCCTGTAGCACTCTATTCTCTGAAGCATGTCTGCAAACTAACAATCAATATCAAGATTAATTAAAACTAAAATACCAAGACGAGAGTACATCTATATTCATTTGTTCTTTCTACACAGCGCTCAACTATTGTACAGTCTTGAAATCGTACACTGCATGCCAGGGTCATGGCCCACTGGGCAAATGAGTGTGAAGAGTTTCTTCCCTTTAGACTTTAGTTACTTTTCATGCACTAAGTATGTTTCACATCCTTCTTTCTACACCTGTCACAGGCAAATAGCTAATCATAGGTTGTGAATGACAGGGCTGTTCTCTGTAAGCACCAGCCAACAGCAAGCACTGATCTGATGAATCATTCCTGGTCCTGGAAGATCACTAAGGTTTTCTTGACAATCTCTAAAATATCTTTAAGGATCTTGCAGGTTACACCAGACCTCCCAACTCTCCCGGTTTTCCCGGGAGTCTCCAAGTTTTTCATCAAATCTCCCGGTCTCCTGGTTAGAGCACCAAATCTCCCGGGAACTACCTACCGTGGCTCTTTTTAATTTTTTTTTNTTTTGCAAGGATCTTGCACATATCTAAAGCAAGGTTTCTAAAGCATCTCGCAAGATCTGTAAGGATTCTCCTTTGAGATTCTGGTAAAATCTTTATCAAATGCTTTAGGATCTTGAAGGATCCTCATTACATCTTTCTATGTATTGATAACGTTTCCATGAATATACCTTCATTATTGGTTCGCTGATGTCCTTGTCATTTTCAACTGCCTTGGCTACATCTAAAAGAGAAGTGCCAAACCCAGCTGCAGCCTTGCTGTGTTGCATTCCAGTAGTGTAGTATGACTCCACTGTGCCTGTAAGTTTGGATAATGCCGGACTTATCTGACAGGAAAATTACACAAAAACAGTTGATTAAAATTTATCAATAAATGTTTGAAGTTGTCCTTCAGTAGCAATTCGGAATAGATAAATATATTGATTCAGTTGAGGCCTTGAGGTATTGTACTGTATTTTAATTCCAAGCTTTCGTCATTCTACACCATCATCAGGGAATGAACAAAAATATTCCATAGTGCATGATATAAAAGTAGTGTAGATGATGTGAATGATAGAATGTATTAAGGATAGTGATTATAAATATGGTGATGAAAGTATACGATAATATGGACAATAGCTATTGAGTATAAGTGATAAAGCGGTTGAAAATAAAGCAGTTCATGATAAAATGAAATAAAATAAAATAAAAGTTCTCTGAGTTTGATACAATCTTTCGGAAATATATGATAAAATGGACAATCTTCTATTTTGACCTGCTTTATCACTTTATTACTTGTACTCATTAATGATTGTCCATTTTATAAAGGATCTGATGATCTTGTACACAAGGGTTTCATTAAAGTTTTCAGCAGGAGTGGAACTGTTTTTCACTGGCGGACAAACTTTTTGAACTAAACTTCTTTATAAGAAAAACACTCCTCTACATGGTCAAACCAGGTAAACCATCCTCACAGAAGGTCAACTTGCCAGGTTCCTGGGGCCCATTTCTCAAAACCCCCAGAAACTTTTCAGGCCCACAAAGCCTATTTAGTTAATCGGTATTTAAAGACAGAGAGGTGCATATGCCTGAAACTTCTTGTATGCATAAAACAGCTTTATAGTCATAAGGTTTGAGATTTTGCTATGGCTTTTTGGGTGTGAAAACTTTTCAGGACCTTTGAGAAACAGGCCTCTGGCCCTTAATGAAACCCCTGTGTGCATGAATTCCAGCAAAAAATCTGCAGCCAAATTTCTGGCAACCATTCTCTGCCATCAAAATTAATGCCATTAGTGTCAAAACAGATACTGTGAAATTGTATACAACAATGCACCCCCAACATACACTTAAGTAAGAATCCAGCTTTTCATTAAGAAACGACTTGCCCTAATTAACCCTCAAAATCGAACCTCTTGACTCTTGACTCTCCCCACCTGCTACATGTAACATTGACACAAACATTTGTGAAACCCTCAGAGCTGAAGTAAACTAAATTTATCAAGTAATTAGTTCTGGACGTAGAGTTGCTCCAAGAACAGTTCATGAGAACAACTCAAAAAACCGTCGAGTGTAATTATATTCTAATACTAAAGCAGGTGTACAATCTAGTCCAAATGTCATTACAAGACAATAAAGATTTCAGAGAAACATCTCATACGTTGTAATACAGGCTAATACCTTACTTACAACTGACTTTTGTATTGGCGAGAATCTTTTTATCAACATGATAAAACTACTCGTAATTTAGGGAGAAAACGATGCCACCTTTAAATGAATCAAGATTTCAACAAGTCACATCGAGAAGTCACGTCAATATACTTCCGATGTTTTTATATACCTTAATTACAAAGTTTCGCGTTTCTTGGAAAAGTACAAAGGCAAAAGGCAAGGTACAAATGTACAATAGAGCTTGATTCTCACCTCAGCGGCTCGATCAGTCCAGTATTTCAGGGACTGGTGACAGGCCGGACTGTCGTCCAGAACAAACTCGTAGCCGGGAAGGTTCGGCATAGAGGCCTCGAAATAGTTTTCATAAAACGTCATGACGAATCTTGAGGCCTGTTCACTGAAAAAGACACATTATCCTTTCACGGCGATGGTTTCTGTGCCGCTGGTGAATGTAAATTAGATTGGAAATTTAAATTTCTTTACACCTTTATCGCTTTTTCGCTCCCATGTCCTCCGACATGAAAACAGCTTAGGAACCTCGCCAGGCTAGACTTCGTAGCATATGGGGCCGTAATGCATTATGGGATTGGTCTATTTCGTGATCTCTTACCACCGCTTTTTATCAAACATGAGCGAAAGGAACAGTTTTGGACTGCTAAATTCATAAATAAAGCTAAGGGAGTGAATTTAAATATAAAACTTCGTAAATAGTCTTTCGGCTCATGTAAGTAATACAAGCATCCACTGATAACTTGCTGGCCATGGGCAATTAGTGTGCCTTTCTCCATATTTTGAATCCAACCCACAACTTCTTTATTTTTCTACTTTTTAAAATTTTGTGCAATGATTTTGAGCACCCGTTGGACTGTTCACTCCCAGGTCTGCGCGGTTTAATTCATTAGGAACATGCGTACTAATGCGATTGTAAATGGCGGAGGCCCCCTGCGAAGGGGAATGATGGTCATGGGCCGCATTGCAAGCATTTTGCCAACACGACGGAGCAAATCCGCCATAACGGCAGAGCGACTTGAAGTAGGGTGGATATGGTTTCACAAAGGCCCATTTCTTCGAACATGCGGCGAGAACAGGCCGGGTGACTGCCGGTAAGTGGTGTTTTGTTTCGCCTTCGCTCTCACACATGTTTCACTGGAATTTTCGTTTGGTTTCCGTACGTTAAACTTTTTTAGTTTTGATATTTCGCTAACGAGTCTTCTTGAAAAGACTCGTGTAGTTCCTTTTGTTTGGTGGCTGAAAGCTTCAAGTGTCCACGATAGCTGGTATCTCTCGCGCCAATCGCCTCTGTTTTAACAGATTAAGCTCAGTTATTGACTGTCCCAGAACTGAAATTTTGTGGGCAAGTGTTAATTTAGAGAGAAGCACGTTTTAACACGAGAAGCGAAAGTTGATGGTAAATCTGACGTGTATTTCACGTCATGATCACCTTTGTCTGAACCTCGCTGTTACCAAGAATGGGTAATTCACGTGTGGATTTCACCAATTTCAGGTTTTTCAAGGGTTTGTTTCCATGGCATCACCCCAGCCATCCCTTGCAGCCCCTCTTCATGTCCAACACTTGGAGAAAGCTCTACGTTTGGATCCCTTCCTCAGTTACTTAGAGGGTGTCTTTACGGATCCTTACTCCACGAATATAAGGTAATTTTTCTCAAATGGACTGCTAGGAGGTGTCTAATTTTTGTGTGGACTAATTAGGGGTGTAAATTAAACCTACATGTTTGGAGTACTGAGAAATAAGGAAGATTATAAAGGAAGTAGAAAGACAGAAAGTATGATAATTAATCAAATGGGTTAACATTGTCTGGCGTTGTGATAGCAATACTGTATTTGCGATTATTTCGTCAATCCAATTATTTTGGAACAGGAAATATGTCATGGACCTCAAGGTACGTTTGTTCTGTACGTGGCAGTGCAATATCAGTGTTGCAGCTCGTTGACTTGATAACTGAGGGATAACTTTTAGTATACAAACTGTTTAATTAAAAGACTGCGAGCTGGTGGTTTATATTGGGTGTAAGTTGACAAGTGGCAATGCTGTGAGTCAACCATCAAACATAGAAATAGAAATCAAAAGTGAGCAGTCTAATGCCTATTTCATATAACTCTATGGTTTATCAGCTGAGAATATCAGTTTTAAAAACTGGTTAATATTGTCAGATCAGTGGCTATGTTCAATATTTTTTGCCCATGATAACTGAAAAAACTCGTGTGCTCCATGTGGGAGCCTTTTATAAGGGAAATAGACCTTTCAAAAATTCCCAAAGTCATTTTGCTTTTTGGGGGCAAACATGGCAAAAATTATAGTAAATGTATGGGAGAAGTGGAAAATCTTATGTCTAACAACTCATAAAAAATTAGAGTTCTGAGACACTTAATGAATGAAAAATCTAAAGATACCAGGCAGGGCTCGAAATTAACTTTTTTGTTTGGGAGCCAGCTGGCGAGTAACGGAAAAATTGTGGTTGCCAGATTGTAAATTTTGGTCGCCAACTTATTTTATATAAAACTCGCACAAGAACACGATTTTATACATTACTTTGCATGCAAGAAAAGTCACAATTGAAGAGCAAAAACAATTAGAAACAACACAAGTAACACTTAGTTATAAAGCTACCATTGTTCTCAGGTGATATGTCTCTGGTCAGAAGGTGTCTCAATAGTCATTTTAAACAATATGGYGCACCGTGAACGCAGTATCGACGTATTGAAATACATTCAATTTTTTCGATTATCTTGTAATATTCAGACATTATTTTACTGGGGACGGAAAGGTGAGTTGCATACTAGCTACCATATCCAATTGATTTCCTAATATAAAGATTTAAAAACAAAAGTTGTGTCGACAAAACGCGAGTCGCCAGTGCTCAATTTTTGGTTCCATTTGCGACCAGTGAGTCGCAATTTCAAGCCCTGCCAGGTGAAAGAATTCACTGATCAAATTTGAGGGAAATGGCTTGCCAGAAGAGTTACAATTAAGGCTTTCATTTTTCCATACATTTGCCTGTAAAACCGAGTTGCAATTCAGGAATTTGTATGAAAAATTAAATGCACTTAAGTGCAATTTAACTAAGTTAGCAACAAAGAGAAGCTGGCACTCATCAAGCGGTCAGTGGTTCTAGGATGTTAATTTGAACAAGTGCAATGAGCCCATTGTAGTAGCATGTTCAAGAGTGGGATAGTTAAGTAGTTTTTTGGTGGAGCTCCATCCCTTTTCCACAGTTATTTCCAGGGCTGAAAATTAGTTCCGGTGCTTGGTGGCCAAAAGAACCAGTTTCCTTGCTTTCTTAGTCGCCCAGGTCAAAATTAAGTGGCCATGGATTTCCACTATATTTACAGGAATGTACATTTAACAGATTTTAGTGGTAATAAAATTCAAAAAATTAACCTCTGTAGCTGCCCCTTCCTTGCAAATAGAACAAATCATTGCATCTTCAAAACCTAGCCACGTTCTCCCTTTCATCCAACTGTTTTGAAATGTTCATGATCTTTTTTTTTTTTTTCGTAATTTTTCTTGGATTTTTGCCCATCTTCATTATTCCTGGTTTTTTCGTTGGAGGTTGCTCACAACCAGAGAGAAATCTCTACATTTTGTCATTCTTTTCCAGCTGATTTGGTATTCCAAAACTATTGTGCTTGTGAAAGCAACAACGTCGAAAACAGACAGCAATGTACTCTGGGTAAGACTGGAGGCAAGTGGCAACAGAAAAATCAAAATGGCATCTCACGTATTTGTTCTAAAAGTCCATAAAACTTAGAGAAATTAGAGTCGGGAAGAAGAAAAGAAAGGTAGTCCAACTAAACTACCTTTTATTTTATTTTTATTTCAAGTTCGTACTTTCAATCTCAATACATCAGGCTGAATTCAACCCCAATTTTTAGTCGCCCAGCTTTGTTTTAAGTCGCCACTTGCAATGTCGCCAGTTGCAATGTTAGCAGCCATTGCAGGCTTCGGGAAAATTGGCAGGAAATGATGTGACCCAAGTAGTCATATCCTTCAAGGACCAAGACTCTGCTAACATTGTTAAGACGTAGTTGAAAGACCTTAGCATTAAGCTCCAAACCACAATCCAGCCCATATTTGTCAGTTGGAAAATTGGCCAAGACCTTCAAGAATGTGAGACCAAACTTAAGTTGTTTGCTGTTAAACCGTAGTACACCAGTTGCAAACATTTTGACCATCCTGCATAGTGGATTAAAAAGCATGTAGAAATGAATCTGTTTTTGAAAGGTTAACTCTGGCGTACTTAATTTATTTCCATAACTCACAGCGAGGAATAGGGCTGGAAATACAAAACATGAAACTTGTATAAACTGTACCAATGTTTCTTGTTGTTTCAGTGACGATGACAGTGAATTGGGTGACAACGAAGAAGAGCCACTCCCTAAGGGTGAAGAAGGCCTGCTAAATGGTGTCACTGATGGGATGATAATAAATGGATCCTTGAGTCGTGATGGTGATTTTTGCTTGCCCTCAATCTTTCTATGCAAGCTTTATTCTGAGTCATGTCAGTATCTATTTATGTTTGTTTGTGTAAATGTGGCTGATTTAATTTTGTTACTGATGCAGAACTCAGAATTGACAAAACAAGATTATACAACTTCAGCAAAATAAAGAAAGACAGAAGATGGCTGAAGGTACTGTTGAACTGCAAATTTCATATTTCCTTCATTGACAAGTGGTACAGGGAAGTCAAAAAAAACCCCATTCATTTGCTTGATGGTGGTTGTTTTTGACAAAACCACAATCACAGGCATCTCTCTGGGGGAGGGGAGGGGGGGACAAAAGGTTTAATTTGTCTTCTAGTCAATTACTGTACATGTACTATCTTACGCAAACTAAATTCTTACAACTGCTCTATTTTCTATAGCTCTATAAAGTGATTAGGTGTATAAACATCCCTAAATGGGTTAGTAGTCCTATCCATTGCCTTGTCAGGTTGCCTTAAAATAATTTATGTCCCTGGATGTAGAGAGGTGCTGTAAGAGTTAAGTGTGTTGCTCGAGAACACAACACAGTGACACCAGCTAGGGCTCAAATCCAGACTTCTTTGATCCCAGGCCAAGTGTGTCAACCATTTGCACACTGATCCCTTCCGCTCCCAAAATGTAAATGGACATAAATTAATGCCTGTTTTCTTTCAGGAGGTGCTTTTGAGTGACAGTTCTGACACCTCATGTGATGAGGATGATGAAGCACCTTTGACAGAAGAAGATCTTCAAGAGATGCTCTGGCTTCACAAGCAACAAAAAATTGCTCAACAAATGTACTGCCTTGACAAAGATGTAAGTTGCTGTGATGTGTGCAATAGCATTATAGACTCCAAGCTTTAATGTGAATGACCCAAATTCTTTTGGTTTGAAACCAAACTCAAATGGAATGAGAATCAACCTCTGAATTAAACTCACTTTCAATCAAAGGCTCCTGTGAGCAGGTCATGGATGAATGTTTCCTTTTGTCTCCGTTTGAAAACGAGTCTTTGTGCGAAACCTTTCACATAAAAATGAGTTAATGAACCTGTAGGCGAAAGTCATATGAATGGTTTTGTACTTAGACTCATTTTGACATAGAGGGAAAAGGCAACTCGGAAATGGCCTATTGGATGAATGTAGAAAACGTGGTTGAACAAAAAGAGACGAGGAATTGATCATTGTAGAGTTGTTCTTGCTACTGCAGTGGAAAACAGGAAAAGAAACATCAGTTGGTCAAATGTGATGGATAGCTTTTGATGTCCAAAT